GGGGGGGGGCGCTTAAAATAATTCCGTGCGATAACTCTGAGGAACCCTGGGGAAGAGGCTTATTGTACCTATGTTGCATTGCCTCATGGGAGAAACCGGGAGTTTCAAGATGGCGGCGGCTTTGAAACCAATAATTCGATGGGCCCAAAGCAAGGAAAAGTTGTTTTTAACGCTTGAGCTTACAGATGTCCAGGTTTGATATCTACAACAATGAAAAGTGCCATTTGTTTTCTCCACGGGTCATATTTTTTGGCTAAAAGTTGTTTTGTTTGTGTTGACAAGTATCCTGCTGTAGAATTGACAAGTAACCGGCTGGTCTTTCAAGGTGAGTAGATTGCTTTTTGACAACCTTGATTAGTCTGGTGATCGAGGAGTGAGCTTGTTCCCACCACTGTCTTAATAACTAAACATGTTAAGTAAGTCTGCAAGTTAAGATGAAGAGCATGATTTGCAGTCTATTTCTTTCTGTACATTCGTACATGAGCTTCTGGAAATGCGCAAGTGAATTATGAATGATGTGCTGACTTCTTTATAATTTGTAAAACATGAAAGGCCTTATGTAATTTGTTCCGTTGTTGTAGATAGGAAACATTCTGAACTAAATTGTAATATTGATAAATGAATCCAAAATGCTGATTCACTTTCTTTCCAAACTTAAGTCTATGTTTTCTCCTAAACCTACGTAATGCTTTGTAATCGCTTTTCAAATCCTTCACCGCCTTTTTATTTTGGGGCTCTGCCTTTACATGAATGTCCCTATCATCAATATACACTGTAGTGTAGTGACATGTACATATCACATCATTTGAGAATTTAGCTGACAGATGATGGCCTTGAAAATGTTTTTTACACATGTCACCATAAATTGAATTCAGAAAATGTTTGTAATGGGTTACAGTATGTTCACTGAAACCAGGGCCATCCAGACAATGAAAACCAATCAGATTCACAATGAACGAGTAGAGATTTCATTGATTTTGTACCGGAGATCTGATTCGCTGAGTTTGAAAATGTTGGAATCTATTGTTTGAGTTCTGCCATATGATTGGTCTTCATTGTCTGGGTAGCCCCGGTTTCAGTAAATGTACTGTAAAAGTTGAACAAAAAACAGTTCATATGTTTCTTCTGTTGTTAAAAAGTTGTTATAGAGTCATCTGGTTAAGAACATTGTTGTTGTTGGCAACTCCCTTCCCTATCATATATTTTTGATTTTAATTATTTTTGACAATATTCGATGTGTTGGAAATGTGATTAAACACTGCTCTGAGGGTTTAATGAATTATTCACGGTCAAGACTGAACCTAGTAAGGAGAAAAAATGTATACTAAGACACAAGTCATATCTAAACATTGTTATGGTTATGATTTCTTTGTTTTAACTTGATGAATTGATGGCATTTTCAGTGCTGGAAACTAAACTTTGACAGCACTCGCCATCCAGGCAAGTGACTTTCAAAATCCACTCACCTGGTGTAATTTTCACTTAATGATTCACAAACCACACATTTTTTCGCTATCTTGTAATCATGGAGGCCCAGCTTGCCATTCTGTGTTGAGCTTTCTTGTTCTGGTTCAATTAAGGTTACTTCAAACCTTTGTGGGTGTCCTCCAGAAAAAAAATTGTATGTGCGCTGTTTTGAAGGACACCCCTACAAACTATATATCAATAGAAAGGTTATAAAATGTACAATTCGATAAAATAATATTCTTTTTCGCCGACTGCATTGCGAAGGCGGCAGAAGCCGTTAACGCCAAAACAACCCACTGAAATTGCGACAAATTAATCAGATATCAAATGCGATTATTGATGCAAAATAACTGTGCAGTGTTAATCGCAAAGCATCAATCTCTCAAAGCGTGTCAGCATTTTCTTTCATTTCTATTGGTTATCTTTTTATACATCTGTCAAGTTCCACTATCGAAAAATTCGCATAACATGTTGCGTAAGAGACAGCCACGAGAAAAGTATTTGAAATAAGAGAATTTGCCGACACGATTTTGTTCCGTATCTATCACTGAATGTTCTGGCCAAATTTCAAGGAAAACTGTCGATTCTATGTACCCTATTAATTCATTTAAAGAGGAGGGAATCTCTTGAAAAACGAGTGCAAGTTTTCGCCTTCTAAAGATTTATAAACATGTCACGCCTTCTCAGAGGGATATGTCAACTCAAAATGCTGCCAGCCAATGAAATAATGGAATCCCTAGCATTCACAGTAAGGAAAATTGAGCTTCGCGGTAAAGCGATAGTGTTACAGTCCCGTTTTAGGTGCGTACGTTTTAGGCCGGTGGTCAACAATAAAGGGTAAAACGGAGAAAAGCAATGTGCAAATAAATAAAAAGAAACTAAGGAGCAATTGCTGAAGAGTGATTACAAAAAGGCACTCTTGACGGACATGAAATCTCAAATTGAAAGTATTTGATATAGGATCTCTGGATTAAGCCGTTTGCTGCGAAAAGGTCCCTGAGGAGTCCATGCCTTTTGGAGATTATGACACCTTGACGGTTAATTAACTTTTATTAAAAAACCTCTTTTTCCCAATAACTCACGCATGTTTTAATATTTTGTTTTCATTTTTTTGGAAAATGTTACGTTGAATAATGAACTTTAATTTGGTTGGAAAAAAGAAAATTTGGAAAAAGTAGCCCCACGAAGGTTTGGAGTAACCTTAAGATAGCTTTGACCTTAGGATCGTAGACCGATTTTACTGTTTTATCCTCAGTTTTCTCATCATCTTTTGACACTCCTTGGAAATTTTTCCACACTTCTGTAGTTTTAACTGTAAAACAGCTAAATGAACAGCCGTCAGTACCAAATTTGCATATATGCCTAGAATTAGGACATTAATTTTGGGAGTAAACAACCTGTCAGCATGTGGAGGACTGATGTTCTTTTCTTTCCTTCATTATGTAAATTATCACTGGAGGAAGCTGTGTTTCATTTTTTTCTTTTTATGAAAGACTCTGTTGTGTATTATTGGCAAATAATCCGGGCTTCCCTATGCTTTTCACACTCGCATAGGTGAGCAGGTGAGCGCTAATTGCTAACACTGCATTTTGAGAACTTTCATTAATTCTCATTCAAACTGAGTTGTACTTCAGGCAGTCTATTTACAATCAATAATTTTTAAGACAGCACAAATCTTATCACTCCTCAACAAATTTTTTACCCAGGATTTGGTCATGGGGCCAGAGGGGAACACCAGTATCATGTGGACATTAATTTTTACAAGCCAGTGGACATAACAGTGAGTTCTTGTGTTGTTAAATGTTATTTTGTACCAGTTACTGGTTAGTTATTTGAAAATATTTGTCTATTGTAGTTTTATGTTGTGTGAAATTATCTGACTTATTCTCAGGTTTTCTAGTCATGAACTACAGTCACAGAACATTGAGAATATTATATAGTAAGCTGCACAACCAATCTTCTGTTATAATTACAATCAACAGCTCAGAGAAAAAGTCTTTGAACATTTTCTGGGGTTATACATGTATCACCAAGCACAAAGTAGCTTACCCCAGTAACTCTTCAACTGGAATAAACCAGCCTTGCGAGAGCTAGATCTTCATACCGCTTGTAATATCATCATGTTTCATGATGCCAGGACATGTTTTTGATTAGCACCTGATAAACCAGGAAAAAAGCCTTTCAGAGCAAACTTAAACCAGCATGTTACTGAATTGGGCCAGAACACGATCCAATAAAACTAGAACATTTTCATTCCTACTATGGACACGTTTCTAAAAACAACAAAGATAACTGAATTCCCAGGAAAATAACAAAAGCAAAAACAACAGATAACAAAAGAAGATGGCAATGGCAGAAAAAAAATAAACAGCACGCAACGCATGCAGAAGCAATGACGTTTAAAAATAATTATTGTTACTAGAAGATTGGAACATAAGCAGACAAACTGATTCTTAAACTAAACTGTAGAACTTTTGTGTTAGAAATTTTAGGGGTTTACATTTAGGGTAGTCCAGTGGTAGTTCATTCAAGTAGTTCATGTACCAGGCCCATCTTGTTAGTCCATGTGCTAGGGGTCAGCGAAATGTACCAACCCAAAAGAAAGATTAATAACTAAAAAAAATAAAAAGCACTCTGCTGATCCTACAAACTGCAAAGGAAAGCAGCAAAGGAAAAGTTCCTCTCTCTGAAATCAACACCTTATTATCTTTAAAGATATTTGGCAAAGCTAATTACCTTACCAGAAATTAATTTGTTGTTTTAACCGTATACTTGTCATATCGCGTGTGCGACCCGCTTGTCTATCTAAAATTGTATGTATCGAAGATATGTTATTATGAGTTTGCCTGTGAGCGCAAATTTATTGGACACTGTATAAACCAAAATCCGCCCCCAAATGTTCGTTTAAAAGCTGAAATTAAAAGCACTCCACTGATCCTACAAACAGCAAAGGAAAGCCACAAAGTACAAGTTTCTCTCTCTGAAATCGACACCTT